CTGCGGCAGTGTCACGGCCAACCGCGAGGTGAAGAACCTCGTCCGACATCGATGATATGAGAAGGCTCAATATCGATTGGTCCTGAAGAACCCAGGCCTTGTGCGCCGGGTTGGGGGTCGTCGGAGCAGTGGTGGTGCCGGTTCCCGATTCGCCAGAGGAGGTTGCAGAGATAAACGCCGGCGGACAGGGTGTGGTGCCGTCCACATAGCCAATGAGATCCTGACCTCTGAGAAACGGGAGAAGCTGGGTCCTCCAAAATAGAAAGTTTCTCGAGGTCAGTTTCATCGAGATGAAATGGTGAGCTCCCGACAAAGGGTTACCGGTCGCCGGAGCTGAGCCGCTGGCAGCGGCGGATGGGGTCCTCTCGGAGGAATGCGACGACATGGTGGGAGTAGGGAGGGGGTTGGTTGTTTGCGATGGAGGATCGTGTTTAGGCTGATACCAGATGAGAATTCAAGATTGCAATTCAATAGGGAAAGATAGGATTACAAGAGTGTATATCTGAAACTACCTCTAACTAATCCTATCTACCAGGTTATTAACAGAAGACTAATACTAACCACATATAAACAACTATAGGTTAAAACATAAATATAATAATAACACTAATATTATTCACAACTCCAATTCCAACAGTTTTACCAAAACTCCCCCTTAATCCATACTCCCTCTTTGTATATACTCCCCCTTTTTTGCCAATGAATTGACAAAGGTGAACATCTATATTCGTGGATTGAGTCTGACGGAGTGCCCTATTGGATTGGACCTGTACAAGAAAATTAGAAACAAGAAACGCAGAACTAGATAACAATTAAATAACAAATAAGCACCTATAGACACGAATATCAAGTTGGAGCAGATAATGCAAACAGAGCATACCCAAGTAGTAAGCACATTTAGATAAATCACATTTGCACACAAATTCATATTAAGCAAAGTCAAACACAGATTCATACCAGATAGCACGGTAAAACACACAAACAAAACAAGCACGGTCATGTAAAGCATATTCAGCCAGGGATTCAAATAGAGCAAAATCAAGCACAGATTCATATAAATTAACTTCAGGCAAGAATTCATAACAGTTAGCACAATAAGTACACAAGCAAACACAGATACGGTCATGACCGGACCAACAAAAACACATTCACATAGTAACACAGAAGAATACAAATATTAAACAAATTTTGCATCAAATTTTCATTCAAATAACCATAGAGAATTCAAAGATTCAACACAAGAAACATCAATAAAATAACCTAAGCAAAAATAGGTTTATCAGTTCAAAAGCACTCAAAATAACGCAAGTAGAACATTTAGTAAACACATAGAAAACAATCAAGAACAAAACGCAAAGAATCAATCCGCAGTTTAGTAAACACATAGAGTAGTAGACAACGAAAAGGACTAATTGCGAGAAAGTTAAAAAATAAAATAGAGGGAAAATCAATCATAGACAAACTCCAAAAAAAAAAAACAAAAAAAAAAAACATATATGCAATGTGAGAGCATGTAGGAACAGAACCATTAATTCAAAAGATAAATTCTCTGATCCTGGCGAACAAATAAGCAAACCACAGTTTCACGATCCTCTACTGAAGTTAAATATCGTGTCATGGCAAGTGCAGCAAGTGAAATTACATGGCTCAAACTACTCTTATCCGAACTAGATATACCAGCTCATCTTGCTCAATCTACATTGTGACAATCAAGCATCTCTCAACATTGCCAACAATCTCGTCTTCCATGAACGAACCAAGCATGTAGAAATTGATTGTCATCTCATTCGAGAAAAGATTACTTCTGGTACACTATGCACCACTTTTGTTCCATCTGATCAACAAATTGCCGAACATCTTCACAAAGGGTCTCCTCTCTCAAACATTCTACGCCATCACTTCCAAGCTCATGTACCACCCTTGAGCTTGAGGGGGAGTAAAGAAGAATAATATCTATATTTATATTACATATCTTCTACAATATTATATATATGTATTCGTATTCATAATTATTTTCATATTCTTACGGTCATAGTTTAGGTAAATTCCTAGATCATTGGTTCTCTTACCTTTTTCACCGTTCTTTACCGTTAGCATAGTTATATATATACACACATTGTATTCTTCTTTGATAGACAATTCATATATGCAATATATATTTTCCTTCTCTTTCTCTGCAACAATGCTTTGCAGTTTATATCCTCAACTCCTTACGCTTATAAGCTAACGAGTGTCAGGTCGGGGATTTCTGCCTTGTTATCAAAAAGGGAGTTGGGTAAAGCAAACTCTCTCAAGGATTTCTTGTTCGTTGTGCAGGTTTTACAGGTCGGATGCTCCTCAAGAAAGCTGGTCGGACCCGATCGATAAACTTCCCGACTGAGGTCTTTTACCCGATTATTTGCCCTTATCTTACGAAGAGTCAAAGATCTCAAGAAGAGGCACGTGGCGATGCTACACGTTGACAAAGAGGGCTTGCTGGATGGTGATGCGTGGATGCTACGTGGGTTACATGCCGGCCGGCCGGAGTTGTGTCTCCGGCCTAGCAGCTATAAGTACCCACGGCGGCTATAGTGTGGAGGGACTTTTGGAACGATCGATAGACTATCTACAGAGCTGTCCGACTGCAGTCAGTCGGCCCTCGGGATAGTCATTTAGATTGTATTAGGTCCTTCCTTGGTCAATAAAAGTCTTTATTTGCTTTGACTTGATCTTATTTAATATCTTGACCGCATTACGTGGAATTTATACTATCATTTTGGCGTCGTCTGTGGGGACCCGAGTACGAAAGCTAACGTTTGACGAGTACAGGTTCTTTATATCACAATGTATCCATATATGTACCAAATGGCCGAGGATGAGCAAGCCGATGCAGCCAGTTCATCCGACCACCAACGTACTCAGTACCAGGGTCAGACCATAGATTTGAACCTCAACCTATCACCACCACATCCGGTGGCCCAGAACCCCGTCAACTACATCCAACCGGGATACCCGCTGCCCGGTCAGCTGTATCCATTCCCCGGGCAGTATCCATACCCGATCCCTACACCACAATATGGGTGCTGGCCCGGTACACCAATGTATTATCCACCGCCAACCGGTTATCCAAAATACATGCCTATGCACACGGCTCCAGCTTCCGCTCCCCCGATTTACCCGACCATGCCGACCGAGCCGAAGCTTCAGCTCACTTCCTGGGCTAGGCGCTCGGCTCGCTCGAGGTTGGGGTCGCAGGGTGCCGAGGCCATGGAGGAACCACGGCAGGCTCAGCACGTTCAGCCGGAAGCACACGCTCAGGTAGCTGAAGACTCTGAGACAGAAGCCAACCGGGCGATGGCATTCGAGCGCTCCGACCAGCAATGCGGCAAAGATTGGGACCGCAAGATCCGAACAGATGCACGGTTGATTTTCCGATGCAAGCGGCAAGCCAGGAGGGATCGTCTGCGCATAGTGGGTCTAAAACTCATTAGCGACGACGGGCTCGGGAACCAGCTCAAACAGCCGTACAAGATGAGACCCGAGGATTGGTCAACGAATTTCGGGCGGAATTCACTCGTTGGCAAAACGAGCACGCTGTGAGGCCTCCGTCCAATCAATCAGCCTCCCTGTTGAGGACACCCTTCACGGCGGAGATTATGGCTCAGCCTTACCAGCTCGATTTGCGAGTCCCTGGCAACAAAGAATATGATGGGCGCACAGACCCTGAGGTTCATGTGAACACCTACTACGGAAACATGCTGATGATGGGCGTGTCCGACGCCGTAATGTGTAGGGATGTTTATTCCACGCTCACCGGTCGGGCGGCGGAATGGTTTAGATCACTTCAGCCGGGCTCCATTTCTGAGTTTGCCAGTCTGGCAATGAAATTCAACCGGAAGTTTGTGACCTCCAAGGTCATAGGGAAGCCCTACATGTACCTTGAGAAGGCCAAGCAGTTGGAAGGAGAAAGCTTGTCCGAATTCTTGGTCAAGTGGAAAGCGGCGGTCGGGGAGGTTGAGCCGATAGACGATATGACGGCCATCCACATGCTACACATCTCCCTCCGGGCCAGTTATTTGTACCAGGACTTCATTCTCCATCCGCCAACCACTTATGAGGAGGCCCTCCGTAGAGTGACGGATTACGCCAATACCGGTGAGGCTAATGCCGTCAAGAGATCACAAGAGGTCGGGATATCATCCCGGAAGCCCTCCGGTCGGGTAGATCATCGATCGGGTGATGACCATCCCCGACCCTGTACCCGGCCGGGAGAGTTCACGACATTGAACCGGTCAGCGGCGGAAGCCATGCAGTACGCCCAATCCTGCAGCCTCATTAAACTACCTCCTCCCGGACCAGAAGGCAGGGACAAGTCAAAGCATTGTGCTTATCACCGTTGTGTCGGGCACGATACGGAAGAATGCACGCACTTGAAACAACTCTTAGAAGATCTGCCCAGTCTTGGAAAGTTGGATAAGTGTGTGGGAAAGCGGGAGGAGACCAAGAAAACGACCGACAAAAAAGATCATAGACGCTGTCATTATCGTTCTGATCGGTCGGATCAAGATCGCAGAGATCCTGATCCTCCATCCAGCAGCCGACCGGCACCCAAACCGACCATCCATGTTATATTCGGAGGTTTGGAGGACGCATCCCAATCCCGGGAAAGTTGCCCGGTCGCAATCGTGGACTCCCGTGAAACCGGGAAACGACAAAAGATGGAGCCTATTACCTTCTCATTGGAAGACCAACAGGATAGTGGAGACCACGGGATGGAAGCCCTCGTGGTCACAATTGAAATTATGGGGACCGATGTCCAAAGAGTGATAGTGGACACCGGGAGCAGTGTGAACGTCCTTTATTTGGACGTGTTTGAGAAGCTAAAATTGGATAAGGAAGAGCTGATTTCGGTCGGCGTACCCTTGTCAGGATTCACCGGGGCCACCATACGCCCCGAGGGAAAAATTATGCTCCCGGTAAAGATCGGCACCCCGCCCAAGTCAGTGAAGACCGAGCTAGAGTTCGTTGTGGTCAATCTGCACTGTGTCCACAATGTTATTTGGGCCGACCGGCCATCATAAGGGTCGGCGGAATCATTTCTATGCTGCATTTATGCATGAAGCTCCCGACCCCGGTCGGGGTTGGAGTTGTACGCGGCGATGTCCAATCGGCGCGAAAATGCTATACCCGGGCAGTTAATCGGCGTGATGCTGGTTCCTCCCGAGTAAACAGCATTGTCAAGGAAGCCGTGGGCGAAAGAAAGGAACAACTCGAACCCTCCGAAGAGATTGAAGAAGTTCCTTTGTCTGAGGAACGACCGGAGAGGAAAATCAAGATTGGTCGGGCCCTCACCCCCGAGCTGCGATTAGAAGTATTGGCGATCCTCCGGGAATTCGCTGATAGCTTTGCATGGGGGCCTGAAGATATGCCCGGGATAGATCGCACCGTAATTTGCCACAAGCTCGCTGTAGATCCCACGGCAAAGCCAGTTGTTCAGAAGACTCGGCATCTGTCATCTGACCGCCGAGAGTTTGTTAGAGAGGAGGTGAAAAAGATGGCAGCGATCGAGCACATCCGACCGGTCACTTATCCCGAATGGGTGGCCAATATTGTACTAGTTCCCAAGCCTCCATCTTGGAGGATGTGCATCGATTTCACCGACCTCAACAAAGCATGCCCGCTCGACCCGTACCCGCTCCCGAGTATTTATCAGATGGTCGATGAGACGGCCCGGGCCGAGCTCATGAGTTTCATGGATGCATTCAAAGGCTATCACCAAATTATGATGCACCATGAAGATGAAAGCAAGAAGGCCTTCGTTACACCGGATGAGCTGTATTGCTACCGAGTGATGTCGTTCGGTCTCTGCAATACAGGAGTAACTTATCAAATGATGGTCAACATGCTCTTTGTGGATTTATTAGGCCGAACAATGGAAGCTTATATTGATGACATGCTGGTAAAGAGTTCGGACCGAGCCGACCACACTCGGGATCTACGGCAATGTTTTCAAAAAATGAAGAAATACCAGCTCCGGTTGAATCCTACCAAGTGCACGTTTGCGGTGCAAACGGGAAAGTTCCTCGGCTACATGATGACAAAGAGAGGAATCGAGCCCAACCCCGCTAAGGTCAAAGCTATTCTTGATATGCAACCGCCCACGACCGTTCGGGAGGTTCAACAATTGACCGGCCTGTTGGCAGCCTTGAGCCGTTTCCTTTCAAAGTTGGCCGAGCGCACCTTACCATTCTTTAAGGTATTGCGCAAAGTTAATGGGTTCGTGTGGGATGACGAGTGCAGAGTGGCCTTTGACGACCTCAGAGAATATCTGATGTCTCCGATCGTGTTGTCAAAGCCCAAGGTCGGTGAAGAACTCGATGTTTATCTCACCGTTTCTGATCGAGCTGTAAGTGCAGTTCTATGCCGAACCGACTCGGAAGGAGTGCAACGACCGGTTTACTATGAGAGCCATGCGCTCCATGGTTCCGAGCTCCGTTACTCCCGGCTAGAGAAGATGGTCTATGCTTTATACATAGCGGCAAAGAAGTTGGCCCCTTACTTTCAAGGTCGACCCATTCATGTATTAACCGATCAGCCGATCGTGGCGGTTCTGTTGACTCAATATGCAATTGAGTACCGACCAAGACCAGCTATAAAGGGTCAAGCGTTGATAGACTTCTTGGTCGAGTGTACCGCTCGGGAAACGCGACCCCCGGCGGTCGAGGATCCTGAGGCGGCATGGTAGTCGTTGGCCACCGATGGATCAAGTAGCAAGAAAGGAGCAGGTGGGGGAGTCATAGTTACAAGCCCTGAGGGTTTCAAAGTCTACTACGCATTGATGTATCAGTTCCACCCAACCAACAATGAAGCCGAATATGAGGCCTTTGTCAATGGCCTACAGTGCGCTCGAGACTTGGGGGCAGAATACATCCGGGCTCAGACTGACTCGGTACTAGTGGTCGGGCAAGTCTTGGGTGATTATGAAGTGAATGGTGAGCGGTTACAAGCTTACCGGGACCTCGCCATGGAGAAGCATACTTTGTTTCGGGGGTACACCGACTAGATAATGTTGATGCCGACATCTTATCTAAGTTGGCACAAGACGCCCCGGACCACATGTCAAAGATTGCTCGGACTCTAATGATCCCGAGGCATAGCATCCACCGATTGCCGGTCGTACCTATCCAACCGGCAGAGGAAACTTGGATTTTGGACCTTATGGAATATCTCCAGCACGGTCTGCTACCGAACGACCCTCAGCGCGCTCGAAAGGCCAAGCTAAGAGCTCCAAGGTTTCAGGTTCAAGAAGGACGTTTGTATAGGCGGTCGTATGGAGGCCCATTGATGCGCTGTTTGACTTCGTTTGAAGCGGATTTAGTGATGAAGGAATTGCACTCGGGCATCTGCTCGTCGCACCAGGGAGGCCGATCATTAGCCCGACGTATCATGGTGATCGGGTATTACTGGCCATCTATTCAGCTTGATTGTTAGAAGCTCGCAAGAGGGTGCGAAACATGTCAATCATTCGCTCGAATGCTTGGACGACCGGCCACGTTTTATCAGCCGGTCACGACTGCAATTCCTTTTGCTCGATGGGGGGTGGACATTTTGGGACCTTTCACACAACTTTCCAGTCGGAGACGTTTTGTCATCGTGGCCATAGATTACTTCTCTAAGTGGATCGAGACCGAGCCATTAGCCACGATCAAGTCCCAGCAGTGCGCCAGGTTTCTAGGGCGAAATGTTATTTCCCGATTCGGCATGCCCGTCCATCTCATCAGCGACAACGGCCGGCAGTTCGTAAGCCAGTACTTTCAGAATTTTCTTGCAACGATCAGGACAACCTCCATCCGATAGTCGGTGGCTTACCCCCAAGGGAATGGACAAGTTGAGAATGCCAACCGTACAATTCTGGAGGGTTTGAAGAAGAAGTTGCATTCCACCGGTCGTAGCTGGGTTGATGAGCTCCCATATGTTCTTTGGACTTATCGCACGACCCCGAGGGAAGCAACGTTGGAAACGCCGTTCGTGTTAGTATATGGAGCTGAAGCTCGGTTACCGATCGGGGCGTGGATCCCGACTGCCTGGGAACGATCTTACAATGCCGAGGAAAATGAACACTCCATGGCCGTGGATCTGGACGGCGTCGAAGAAAAGAGAGAGATGGCCGCTCGGCGTATGGCCGAGTATCAGAAGAGAGTTAAAAGCTTAGAGGACGTCCGGGTCAACCCTCGCTATTTTCAGGTGGGAGATTACGTTTTACGACGTCGCGAAGCGAGTTAGCCGTTAGAAGGGGATAAATTTGGGAGGGTCCGTACGTTGTCACGGCCGTCGTGCGCCCGGGAACTTACCGATTGGAGACAACGACCGGGAGACTGATTGAGGGCACGTGGAACTCGGAGAACCTTGTTTTATTAAGACATTAGCATGATTATGTAATTGTAGATGGAGTGGGGGCTCGACCTGCGAATGGGCCCGTCCATCTTTAATTGCTTTTGTAAATATTGTAAATATGTATCCACGATCGGTGATTGCTCGACCGTTTGCACACGGCGGCCCGATCGGTTTTCCCTATCGCTTAAATACGAAGTAGGTTGGTTTAGATCTGCTTCAGAAAATGGTCTTGCTCGTGCTTCACCCGACCAAGACACAACATCAACATACGACAGGGGTGAAAGCCCCACGACCACAATGTCGCTTAAACTTGCCCGATTACACCGGGGTTACATTTCAGTTATAACTGATCAAGGTACATACCTCTCCCTTGGTTCCGGCCGATAGGGGTATACAATTAATTAGCTCTAATAGCCATCTACATCTTAGCCGGACGAATTTTAATAACTGGCACAATGCGCTCATCTTCGGCGGACACTCAGGTTATGCCATCGATCGGGGAAAGCAGAGCCATATCAAGATATTCACGATTAGCTTTATTTCTTTCCACCGCCGCACTCACTCGTGCCTTGTGTGCACGGCAGTGTGGGGGCTAAGGTGAAGGAAGGAGACAGGAGGCCAAATGGTCGGGCAAGACCCGAACGAAAAGGCGAGTAAATTTTCAAGAGGCCAATAGGCCAATGGGTCGAGATACGAACGACCGGGCCATTGGGACAATAGCTCGGGCAAAATACGACAAAGAAAAGATTAAATAAAAAAAAAACGGAAAAGTCGAACAGATGAAGTTTGGTAAAAGGATAATTTCATTTAAATAACAAAAGTGCCCGGTACAAAACGGGATCGGGCTCCCAATAGAGTGCACTTAACAAAAAAGAAGAAACAAAAATAGCATTTACATGGTCGGCAACTACACGACCTTGTACCCATCCTTCTCGGCACCGCTGGGATCGGCTGCATCCTCTTCAGCTGGCTCGGTGAAGGGCGCCGGGCCGGGGTCGGCAACACAGACTTCAAGTCATCACCCTCGAAGACCTCCTCCATGATGGATCGGGTCTCCTCCCGCATAGTTCGTTGCCCGGACTTGAAGGCCCAATGCCCGAACTGCCAGATAAGGTCCTCCCCGACCTTGGTCTTCATCAGTTCCTTGATGAACTTTTCACCGGACGCCTCATCACGGCAAAGAAATTTCGCAAGGTCCCCAAGGTTCCCCAGTCGGGCCTTGAGGTCGGACGCTTCCTTCAGGGACGCCCCGGCCGCCTTCTCCACAATGACCAAAGCCTTCTCGGTCGACTTCAGCTTGTCTTGGAGCTCGGTGATCTCCTTTCCACGCTGATCGGCGACCTTCTTCAGAGCGTTGGCCTCGTTGGCCAGCATCGCTTGGCGCTGAAGGTGTTGGATCGATCGGTAAAGCTGCAAGAGCAAAATGGGTTTGCTCGATCAACTATGGTTGACAAAATAAGCATGATGACCAAATCTTACCTCGACCAGCTCCTGACCGCTCCGCTCGACCACCTGTGCAGGTGTCAACTTGCTGATGTCCTCCTTGATCGGCAGGAGGCTGCCTATGCGGGCAAGGATGGAGTCGTCGCCCATGATGGCCCCGCTCGGGGGGCTGTTTTGCTTCTTTCGGCGCTTGAGCGCGCCCCCTTCTTCCGCGTCTGCCACGCTCACTTTTTCCTTCCCTTTGTGGCCAACCGTTCGGGCGACCAGGACATCGGTCGTCAGGTCCTCGACCACGGCTCCTTCAGCCGTGGTTAATGTGGAAGCGCCCAATGGGCGACCGCTTGGGATGGGTTCGCCTTCGGCTTCTTTATTGCCGGATGATCCGGCACCCTCCTTCTTCTTCCCGAGCGGTATCTTGGCTCGGGGGGCTCGGGGTGCTCGGGGCGCGTTGCCCAACGGGAAATTGCGTCGAGGACCCATCCCTACAAAAGATCACATGGTTAAAATAAGCAAATTACAGTTTCAATCGGGAAAGTTAGATAGGTGTTAGACCTTTTTTGGTCGGTTTGGCCCGAGTAACCGCTAACGCTATTGATACGCCCGTTGGTCGGGGTTTGTACTTCTCCTCCAGGTCGTATTGAGGTGGCAGCAGTCGGGCGGCCTCATAGCTTTCCCTCGACCGAAAAATCTTGTATTCATGGATCTCACTAGAGATCCGAAAGATTGCATCCCAGAGGGCCTGAGTCTCGACCGGTTGGACTTGTTTCGTATAATGCGTAGACCAGGTCCGGTCGACCGGGAGGATCCATGGGTCGTATTCGACCGAGAAGATGCGGTTCTTCCATCCACGGTTGTTCCCGGGCAGATTGTCGATCGTACATAGATCAGCCCGGGACGGTATCATCAAGAAGTCTCCCCCGTACTTCGCGGCTAAGGTCTTGACTTGGTAGATAAAGTTGAAAATCTCCATCGAGCATGCGACCTCATGCCGAGAGCATATTTGAGGAAAGCACGCCAGGATTCGGTGGGCGTTCGAGCATATCTGGGCGGGTAATACCCGGTAATAGCCCAAGAACACGGTCAAAGGGCCAGAAAAAGGGAAAGTGATCGGGGCCAGCAGGGAATCATAATGCATCCGGATCCACTTTCCCTGGTGGCGTTCCATTATGTTTCCTAAGGAACACCGCGTATCGAATCGAACTCGACCGCTCAGCCTTTCGGCGATCCTCGCCGCTTCGCCGGTCGTCAACAAGCATTCTTGCTGCTCGACGCTTTCGCTGTTGAGGAAGGCGAGCTCTGGTCCGGCAACTAGTACGGTCGGCTCTTCCTCCATTGGCTCTGGTGTGGCCTCCCGATCGTGGGCTGAGGTAGAAGCCCCGGGGTCGGTTCATATTGTTCGAGTGGGCGTTTCCTAAACGTCCTCGGCCGGTTTTCCTTGGCCACTTGTTGAGGTGTCGTCGCTACTATCACTTCCGCTGCTCGAGCTACTTGAACCACTCGAACCTGATGAGCTTTCTAAGCTAGAAGATTGGTGGCGCTCGGGGCTCTTGGTCGGTCGTTGAACGACCTCGACGACTTCAGGCGAGGATGCCTCTATTTCTATTTCCTCACTGAGCTGCTCGACCGCATCGTCATAGTCCGCACCCGAGATGTTTTGGCTGTCGGAGTCTGACATGTCCCCTTCATAAAGGAGATGGTCGTTTCAGCGTTTGGGGTCGTTTTGTTTCGGTCGGGGTTAGTATGTTACGGGGGTCGTTGTTACAAGAGAAGGTAAAAGAAGAGTTAAAAAGAAATAAAAGTAGGGACAAGAAGAGCTTACCGATTGATCGCTGGTTGATTGAAGTTGTAGGAAGACGTTTGCTCGATCGACGCACAATGCAATTCGCTCGGGATGCTCCGATTGCTTCGCACAGATTGGTAAAAGTTCAAATGAACCTCAGAAGTGCCTATTTATAGGAAAAGTTTGGGCGGGAAAACGGCCCACTTGCGCGATGGGACCGTTACAAACTCCGAGGCATGCAGAAGCCGACACGTGGCACGACAAGTGACACCTGTCCGGTCGGGATCGTAGGCCGAATGAAGTGACTTTTCATCCCGTCCCGTTTTTCCCCGAGCGGTCAAAAAGGCCCGGGCTGGGGGGCTTTTGGTAGGGTATATCCCGACCGACATAGCTTGGGATTTCTTGTTCGTTGTGCAGGTTTTACAGGTCGGATGCTCCTCAAGCAAGCCGGTCGGACCCGATCGATAAACATCCCGACTGAGGTCTTTTACCCGATTATTAACCCTTATCTTACTAAGAGTCAAGGATCTCGAGAAGAGGAACGTGGCGATGCTACACGTTGACAAAAAGGGCTTGCGGGATGGTGACGCGTGGATGCTGCGTGGGTTACATGCCGGCCGGCCGGAGCCGTGTCTCCGGCCTAGCGGCTATAAGTACCCATGGCGGCTATAGTGCGGAGGGACTTTTGGAACGATCGATAGACTATCTACAGAGCTGCCCGACTGCAGTCAGTCGGCCCTCGGGATAGTAATTTAGATTGTATTAGGTCCTTCCTTGATCAATAAAAGTCTTTATTTGCTTTGACTTGATCTTATTTAGTATCTTGACCGCATTACGTGGAATTCATACTATCAAGCTCGTATCATATTCAGTCTAATAGCTATTCACACTAGGAACGGTCCAATTTAGGGGCAAAGTGATGATCATATTAGTTTTTTCATACGTGAGGAGTTTTTAAACTTTCAGCCTCTCTTAAAAAATGTGAGTATACGGTCGCCACGTCAACCAAGTTAATTTTATAATAGGAATAAGGTTCAAATTAACCATCGAACGTAACGTGAAAATGCAATTGGGACACTCAACTAAAAAAAATGCAATTAGACCATTCAACACTAGTAAATCATGCAATTTGTCCCAAGTGACCTGCAATGGCAGGTTACCAACAAGTAATTAGTAAAAAATAAAAAATATCAAAACAAAAAAAAAAAAAAAAAAAAAAAAAAAAAAACAAAGTCTCCGATCGTAAAACAGCCATGGCCACTGCTTCATATATATTTTTTAAAGCTTTGAAGGGATGAAGGCAGCCATGGCCGCTGCCTTCATCCCTTCATATTTTTTTGAAGCTTTTAAGGGATGAAGGCAGCCATGGTCGCTGCCTTCATCCCTTCATATTTTTATTTTTTTAAGCTTTGAAGGGATGAAGGCAGCCATGGCCGCTGCCTTCATCCCTTCATTTTTTTTTTTTAAAGCTTTGAAGGGATGAAGGCAGCCATGGCCGTTGCCTTCATCCCTTCATAATTTTTTTTCAACTTTGAAGGGATGAAGATAGCCATAGCTGCTGCCTTCATCCCTTCAAAATCCCTTCATAAGAGAGCCATAGTCGTAGACAGCCATAGCCCGACACCTGCTGCTGCCGACTCCCGCAGTTTGGCGCCATTTGTCGAGAGAGAAAGAGAGATGAGAGTAGGCTCAGGTCGGAGAAGGCCGCCGCCGCCGTCGTTGGTCGAGAGAGAAAGAGAGACGAGAGGACACTTTTGATCTGTACGCATCACGGCATCGGGGGAAGAGAGGTCCGCCGCCGTCCATGACCAGTCATCACCGGAGCTGCTGGTTGGAGACCCTGTTTTTTTTTAAAATAATTTTTAATTTCTTTTTAAAATTTTTAACTAATTATCGGTTGGTAACTTGCTATTGCAGGTCATTTGGGACATGCATGATTTTACAATGTTGAATGATTTAATTGAACTTTTTTTTAGTTGAGTGGCCCAATTGCATTTTCACGTTACGTTGAATGGCTAATTTAACCCTTATTCCTTCTATAATATTATAATATTAGAGGATACTAATCGATTTCCTCCGCATTCATTTAATTTGGTAGGTGGAAGGTGGGGAGTTGTCAAGTACATGAGAATGCTTTTAAAGAAAGACATTCGTAGGCGCTTTGACCGTCCTAGATTTGGTCTATAAATAACATATTCAGTATTGGATTAGACCTCTACGTACTCAACACAATCTAAAAGTATTTGATGAGTCAATTCCAAGTTTCCAACCGCCCCAATGTTTTAAGGTAAATTACATTACAAGTGCATCATTGATAAATATTTATTTTAATATACGAAATGTATTATATGTTAACTTTTAGATAGTATACTAAATATTTACTTTAAAAAATAATATGTAATAATATGTTAAAATGAACCTTCAATGTATTAAAAATAAATATGTATGTCGATGATCCAGCTTATAATGTAGATCTCATAGTATATTATAGAGTTAATACCTCCAATGGTCCTCCGAGTATTAGGGTATTACCAGGTGTGGTCCTCCGAGTTTAAAACGACCACGAGACGTCTTCCGAGTTTTAAAAAATAACCACCTGTGGTCCTGCGTTATGATTGGTGTCAAATGGGCGTTAAGTGTGAGGGCAGACCGGTCATTTCTCGTATGAGTTAATACCTCCAATGGTCCTATGAGTATTAGGGTATTACTAGGTGTGGTCGTCCGACTTTAAAATGACCACTGGACGTCCTACTAGTTTAAAAAAATTACCACTCGTAGTCCTCAGTTAGGTTTGTTGTCAAAGGGGCGTTAAGTCTGAGGACAAAGTTGTCTTTTCACTTATATTTCTTTCTCCTCCGTTCACAACAATGGTATGTTTGCAACTGTAACACCCTACTTTTCTAAAATCTAAATCCCAAATACCTAACTTTAAACAAGATAAAAATGTAAGATTAATTAACTTAAATCCAACCAAAATCAACAAGTCGGGTGTCACCGCCACAGTCACCAGTCGTGATGACTGCACAGGCTACAAAAGGATATCTATCTAGAGTCAAGCTCATCGAAACATCATCAATACTTGGGGAACAAACCCCGGTGTTCAAACACCAACAAAAGATCAGTCTAAAAGTAACTAACATCAAACATCAAACTACTACGACAGAATTTAAATCTAGAAACTACCACATCATCTACGCGCTAATCTAACACGTGCGCTCTCAAACACTTGGCTCACCTGAAAGGGGTTGTAAAAGTAAATAGAAAATAAACCCGTTAGCAAATTAATGATAAGTATAAAGCCACTCAACCCTGTAAAGTACTATAGATATAGATTTGGAAAACATTTGGCAATCACACGTAATCTCAAGTACTTACAACGCTTAAACAACAATCTCAAACCATGCTCATAACTTTGGAAAAGTCATCCAAAGACTCCATCTTTGAGGAGAGAGAGAGAAGTTAATGGTATAATCCACAGGTGGTTCGCCAATCTCCAGAGCTGCCCGTTTTTTGAAACCCACGGCTTTCGCCATTGACGACCAGAGGCCAAAGCTTCCTTCGTTGCCATTCTCGCCGAAGCAGAGTGGCCTCTTGAGGTGGCATTCTATGGGTGGAGGGATCCGCAAAACTTGTGAGGAAGAAATATAGGTGAAAGGACAGCTTTGCCCTCAGATTTAACACCCCTTTGACAGCAAACCTAATAGAGGACCACGGGTAGTAATTTTTTTTAAACTAGTAGGACGTCTAGTGGTCGTTTTAAAGTCGGGGGACCACACCTGGTAATACCTTAATACTCGGAGGACCATTGGAGGTATTAACTCTTTTTCGTAGTAGAAATGACAAGTTTGCCCTCACACTTAACGTCCATTTGACACCAAGCTTCTGGTGGTTATTTTTTTGAAGTCGGAGGACGTCTCGTGATCGTTTTAAACTCGGAAGACTACACCTGATAATACCCTAATACTTGGAGGGCCATTGGAAGTGTTAACTCTATATTATATAATGATTAAGGTTTCAATTATTATAATTACTTCTATCGATTTTTTATTTTAAAATTTGTCATGGAATGGAAATAAAATGATTCGGCCCAAAAGCCCAATATCAATGCCCAGTATACTTATTTATTTTTTTATTTCCCGACATTTGACACTAATATCTGTATCTTGTAGAGTGAGAGTAATATAATTGAGTTTCAATCTAGTTCCAACCATAAGTCTACTTATTTATAGGGATGTCATCGAAGGGTTTGTCTACTAAGACCAAAAATTTTAAGGGTTAGAGCAATAAAATTTTACCTCAATAAATTCGAAGGCCTGAATTGTTAGCTCAAAATTTATTGGCTAGCCCAATAATCTAGGCTACTGAAGGATCAATTCTTCAATCGTTATGCTGTGCATCCGTATGCACCATGCATGGTGCATACAGATGCCAAAACAACGTCGTTTTATTAAAAAACGCGCGTCTTCCCTTTTAAAAAAATTCAGGTTCAATTCCCAGCAACAACATTATAGTGTTCATTCATTCTGAAATTTTAGTTCATATATTATGGAATTATAGTTCATTGATTATGGAATTATAGTTCATCGATTATGGAATTGTAGTTCATCGATTCTGAAATTTTAGTTTATAGATTATGGAATTTTAGTTCATTCATTCTGGAATTTTTAGTTCATAGATTAGATTATGGAATTATAGTTCATAGATTAGATTATGGAATTATAGTTCATCGATTATGGAATTATAGTTCATTGATTATGGAATTATAGTTCATCGATTATGGAATTTTAGTTCATATGTTGTTGCTGGGAATCGAACCTGATTTTTTTTTTTAAGGGGAGACGCGCGCTTTATTAAAACGACGTCGTTTTTGCATCCGTATGCACCATGCATGGTGCATACGGATGCACAGCATAATTTGCCTCAATTCTTATACTATTGACTCTGTGGAGTTTGGACCCTCGTGCACGCGTATATGTATATGTATATGTGTCTTATGTTGTATATTTTTTGTGTCTTGTGTTACGAAATTTTGTACTTCAAATAAATTAGTAATTGTGTCTTATATTATTAATTTGTGTGTGTTGTGTTGTTAAATTATGTGCCTATGAATACAAATTATGTACCTAAATCATATTGGAAAATAAGTAAATATATAACATGTATATATGTCTTGTGTTGTGATTTGTTATGTCTTGTATTATAAAACTAGTTTTTTACGCGCATTGCGCGATTGGGATAATGCCCAATGTTTTTTTTAAAAAATAAGTACTTTAAAGTATATCAAGACAAGATTATATTAGAACTATTCATGCATAGATAATTGAATGTTAAATTTGCGTATTTAAATAAGCAATTCTAAGATTACAAATGCAAGATAATATATTCAAGATTGATTATAATTGTCAATAAAATAATTGTATAGGTATGGTTGAAATCAAATACGGGACATAAGGGAGAGAAAATATAAATTATGGCATAAAATATTAAATATATACTAATATTGAAGAACTAATTGATGATTGCCAAACAAGGACATTGCGAGATAGTTTCCCACTTCAATTTGTTGTGTGATTTGAATACTCTTGTTGTTAATGATTGACTTTATTAATTATATATATTTTTTAATTTTTTCATGGTATTAATAAAATACTTGGTAAATAAATATATAACATTATTTTGTATTATAACTTTGATCTTTAATTAAAAAATAGTGCACAAAAAAAATAATAGACAATGTAGTGAATATAATCAATTGATGAATTTGAATGTAAATAATTTTTACATTGGAGAAATATAAAGACAATATAACTAATAAAATTATTTCTCTTAATTAATTTATTGATAATGAATAATTTTTTTTAAATAAAGTATTGTAGGGACAATGTAGCGAATATAATCAATTGGTGAATTTGAATGTAAAGAATTTT